CACCTTTCCTCTTCTCTGAAGCCCATGTTAGGGTTGTGGGACCCAGTTTTTTCTCTCCTGACTCTGGGTCAGATCAGGTGTTGGCCCGTCGACCCACTGACACCAGCTGCTGCCGGTCACATGACCAGCTGTTCACACTAATCATTTCTACACCCTGGAAATTCATTCACACTCTCATTCACACCTGTGTCAGTTTAGAGTGAATATTAACCCCCGTCTGGAGAGCCTGGAGGTGGTTGTGTGTCGTTGTGTGTGTGTGGTTGTGTGTGTGTGGTTGTGTGTGTGTGACTGTCCTGCCTCGGTGTCACAGGAAGATCATTGTGTTTGAAAATAGTTCTTTTGTTGCTTGTAGAGGAAGCAGGGTTGAAAAGATGGAAGGGATGAGAGAAGAGTGAGGTCATGAGGAGGAGAATGACCTTCAAGACAATCAAACACACACACACACACACACACTTTCCCAGTGTCTTGGGTTTGAAACCTCCCAGCTGCCACTGCTGATGTCCTCGTTAAATCCCCGTCTACTGTTCACTTGGACGGGATGAGATCAACACTCGGTGCTGGTCCTCGGAGCTCGGTCCTGGAGGGGAAGAGTTCACCAGAGTGGACTGGGTTTACTGTTCCACCTGTCTTCATTTCAGGAAACTATTCAGTCTCTGACTCCCTACTCCTCCCCCGTCTCCCCCCGTCTCTCCCTCACCAACTCCACTCATATTTCCACATCATGGTGATTAACTTCCACATGTGTGTCTAACTTAGTGTCTCCTAGGAGACGCTGCAGGAAATACTCCGGTGCCGCTGACCTTTAGAAGGTGAAGGCTTAGCAACATTAGCTCCCATTGATTTCTATTGATCCTCCATTAACTCCTATTTGGCTTCTTAACAGCCAAGGCATTAACAAAGTTGAACTCAGCCAAGCCTGACTCCTCTGTTTGTTTCTAAGTGCTAATGCACCCAGTTGTCTTTACTGCAGGGAAGTGTGTGTGTGTGTGTGTGTCCTGTGTTAAACAACTTAGATCTGCTAAAAAAAAAAATCCTGGGTTTAAGGGAAGGTGATTTATGGTGTTAGGTGTGTGTGGGGACAGTACCATGGCTCAGTGGACCTCAGTGGAACCTGGTGGATTCTATCCTGTGACCTTCAGGACACAATTCCGAAGTTGTTTGTTTTTTTGTTTTTTACAGTAGTGGGGAGAAAAGAAAATGTATGTTGAATCTCTCAGACAAGTTAACTGAAGGTTTGTGTTTTTTGAACCATCATCACTGTCATGTGACTCTTTTTTTTTACAGGCCTTAAACCCCAAACCTTCAGCTTGGTATCCACAACAAATGTCTGACCTCGGTGAAGAGAAGGAATCAAGGACCTGCCGACCAAAACACCGGACCTTCAAGTCTCCATTTGTGTTCTTCACCACTGGAGGAGGAGGAGGAGGAGGAGGAGCAAAGGAGAAAGACAAACATTATTGACTGACACTCAGGAAGTTAATCCCTGAGCAAAGGCCCACACAGAGGTGGCAGAGCCTGACCACATGTGAGGATCAGCCACATGGAGGGGTCGGGGGGGGGGGGGGGGGGGACGGTTTGGGTAAAGGGAGGGACACGAGCGGG